AGAGAGAGAGAGAGAGGACCGTCTTGCTTCTTGCCTCATCATCGCAAGGGAAATCAGTTGAAGCCTGAGAGTAGTAAAGCTCATCACTAGATGACGAGCGAGTAATGGAGCTTTGGGGGCTACAAATTGGAGCGGTAGAAGCAGGGGGATTCTTCATGAGAGAAGAACCCAATCTGAAAGCCGCACAGCTCGCGGTGGAATCCCTCTTCTTGGTCGTAATCTCAGCTTCATCTCTCTTACAAAACATGTTAACCACACTTTCTCTCTCTACATTCACTTCGTTTCTCTCTCTCTCCTCTGCTTGTTTTGGGATGTTGGATGGTGAAAACAGAAGCCTTCTCCTTCTATGCAGATGCGCTTCGTTGCTGCTTTGGCAAGGTGAGAGATGCTCAAACCCTGTTTCTCTATCAACCGTCATTCTCTCTCTCTCTCTCTGTAACGCTGATTCTTGATCGAATTGTTTTTCTCTCTTTCTAGCCGGAATCACTCTTAAATTTCTCTCTCTCTCTCTAACTCTGATTCTTGATCGAATGGTTTTGAGCCCCACGCATTCGCTCTCCCTCTTTCTCTCTCTCTCTCTGTCTCTCTTTCTTAGAAGTGTCAACCTCTCATTTTCTCACTCTAAAAAAGACCGTTTAGAAAAAGTTATGGAGCCGAGGCTCTTTACTATAAATTTTACTAGAAGAGGTTTTTTGATGCCCAAATACCCTCAAATTGATCATCTTAGTATCAAGATGGACGGGATAAAAAAATGAATTTCAAGTTTTGGAAATAGTGCATCTTGTAATACATTTTTTGGATCTTCAATTTTCAAGATTTTTTAGTTTTCATAAATATCTTTTATCTGTATTATTTTTGAAATTTTAAATTTAATAATTAGAGATGAAGATACATTTTAAAACTATCACAAAGATTTTCAGTATTGAAACCATATTTTTTAACACCATTGAAAGGTAGGCTCAGCTTAGATTGTTTAGAGCCTGAGCTCTATACAAACCACAATTTTAGAAAAGGATCCGATTTCTATGTGGCCTAGCTTGCATATGTAGAAATGTGGGTCTCTCAATAAATCTATTTTTGAGATAGATTTTGAGACTTAATTTTTACAACATGTAATCTCTAACATGGAGATCATGAATATGAATAAATAAATAAATTTTAGAAGTTAGAAGTAATAATTCTAATAAAAAAACATTCGGACGGTTAGTTTCCATTGTTTTTAGATGGAACACCTACTTGCATGAAATAATTTTCTTTTAGAAAAATTTAAAAAAAATACATAAAAGGCTTTGGGACTCGGTTTTTATGAGTCTCCCGACTCGTAGTATTCTCATGCGGGCTCCTGCTACCGCCTATTTTTGTTATCCATCTTGGATCCAAATTTGTTGAGATCCATGATCTACACTATAATGATCATAAATACATAAAATAAAGTTTTAAAATATTTTTCTATTTATTGGATAGGAATCTCTAGTTCTGGATAGCCATGTTAAGATAAACGTTTGTGAGTCAGCGGCTAGTGAGTCTGTTGCCTCCTAAAATACTTTTTTTTTTACTTCTTACTAGTAGTGGGATTAGGTGCGTTGCACGTAAAAATAAATAACCGATAAAGGAAATAAATGCGTAATATGCAATGGAGAGTATATATATTTTATTTAATAAATGCGTAATATGCAATGGAGAGTATATATATTTTATTTAGACCCATCTCTAGCATACATGCTTTTTCTACTTAGGACCCAGAATCTAAACCTTTTATCTCTCTTTATATCTCTCGCTATTTTATATTCCATAAAACTATGCCAAAGTATTAGTCATGAAGCCTGTAGTGTTTATAGAAATTCGTGCTTCGATATTTGGAAATTGACTATAAACTATTTTTCAGAACATGTAAAATTTGCTAAAAAAAATAAAATCAATTTTTGTGTTTTATAAGTTCTCAAAAAAAAAAAAAAAATTGAATCATAAATGAAAATACGAAACATAAAAAATTTTAAATGTAAATATATAAAAGATGTAATATTGGAAATTTCAATTTATTTGAGACACATTAAATTTCTATTTCTAATTTCAAATTTAAAGAAAAGATTAATTGGTAAGGACCATATAAGCATACAAATCAATACATGATGAAGGAAGAAAATAAAACTCCAATAATAAAAATAACAAAGAAAAAGATTGAAAGAATATACTCTCTCTTAAAGTTTGCAAGGGAATCCATTAAAAAAACGATATTTTCAAAAGATCAAATTTACTCAATTTTCATGTTTTGTTCTTTTACAAACAAGGGACATATCTCCTTTTAAATAAACTTTAGAAAAAAGAACCACAGATAATTTTTTCTCTTCTACTTACTTTCTCCTATTTTATCTCTCCTCATTATTTTTTCTCTCCCACTTATCGTTCCTATTTTTTTCTCACTTTTTCTCTTCCACGTGCCATCCATATTTTTCAATCTTTATCATGGTTGATCTTCCCCATATCTAAGTCCATTATCTTTCTCCTATCTAAATTCTTCTCTATTTAAATCTAACTAATTCTCATACCAAGATTACCTTTCTAAGATTTATCTAATACCCAAAATTCTCTTTAACTCACGCAACTTCTCCCACTTAACACAAAGTTGCACACCAAAATTTCCCTCCTCCCACTTTAACTTATCATTCTTCCTATTCCTAAGGAAAATAAATAAAAAGAATAATTAAAAAATATTAAATCAACCCCAATTTTATTTACATCATTCTTCCTGGGTTAGGAGAAGCTCGACCTTGAGCTTATAGAATTTAAATATTTTAGAGGCCTTCTCGAAAGTTGGAGATATAGTCCCATCACGCCTTAACACTTTTTCTTCAATTCTTATAGTACTCAAACAAAAATACCAACTCATGCAGGGAGAAAATAAATCTCGAACAATAAAAATAAAATAAAAAAAAATGGTTGAAAAAATATACCTCTCTCGAGGTATGCAAGGGAATCTACCCCCAAAAACAGTCTTTTCACAATATCAAATTTACTCAATTCTCGTTATTTGTTCTTTTACAAAGAATGGACATCTCCATTTAAATAAGCTTTAGAAGAAAAAAACCCACTAAGATAATTATCTTTCACTTCTATGTACTTTTCTTTATTTTATCTCTCATCCCTATTTTCTCTCTGGTCCCTATTTTTTTTTGAAAAAATGTAATATTCATTAAGATAATGAAGATACACGGGAACAGAAAAAAGGAAAAAGAAAGAAAAGAAAGAAGGCAGAAGGGAAAGGAAAAATAAAGGGACAAGGGAGCAAGTACGAACAACAAGAATGAATAAGAAGAACACGCTAGGGAGCAAATAGCACGTTTAGCCAAATAATTTGTATCAGAATTATCTCCCCGATGAACATGAAGGAAGGAAATCTCACGGTTCTTAAGGGTCCACAGGATTTCATTCAAGATTGTACTGAGTCTTAACGAAACAAGAGCAGGGTGAATACACCACAAAATAACAATAGCCGAGTCTCCTTCAATGATCACCTTGGACCGGGAATGATCAAGGAGAGAGATCCCCATTTTTAAATCCCAGAGCTCTACCTCATTAATCTCGTAATGGTGTAAACTCCCAATATAAGACCAGATAGCAGTTCCAGACTGAGCACGCAAAATGCCCCCACAACCAGACCGAGCACTCCTAACGCTGCCATCAAAGTTTAATTTGGACCAACATGTTAGTAGGGGCTTAGTCCAAACACGATGAATAGTGAGGCAATGCTTCATGAGAAGTAGAAATTCTCTAAACTGCGAAAAGAACAGTAAGCTCAACACAAACGTAAGAGGAAGAAAGACGTAAGCCCAAGAAACAATAGTGCGCTGAATCACAGACCAAAACGTTAGGACATCTCCAGATTTATCCTAAAAAGTTCTCAGGCTTTTCTGTTTCCAAATAGTCTAAGAGAGAAGCAGCAACCGTGATTCTCCACAAGTTCAGCCCCAATGAATCAAAAAGAGGATTCTAGAATTGATGAAGCAAGGTGTGAACATCCTGGGACCAATGGCCATATCAGTTTGCTTGAGAAGCTAGCCCCATAACTCAATAGCATAATTGCATCTGAGGAAGATATCATCAATAGTCTGCTCATCCTACTTGCAAAAAAGGCACACGTTGGTAATAATTATCCCCCTCCTTTTGAGCTGATCGACTATGAGCAATCTCTTATAAGCAAGGAGCCACACGAGAAAGAGCCCTACACTTCCAAAACTTAGCGAGATGCTTTTTGTTTTCAAAATATCTATCTCTCCAAATCTCATTATAGATAGACCTTGTATAAAAACATTCCCTAGGTTCCAAGCACCAAATCAGTTAAAGTCTTGTTTGCAAGGGTAGAAACAAAAGGAGTAGAGACTCTCCAGCAAGGCCCCAAACTGAATCTCCACCGCCCGATCCACCCTTTTAGTGGAAAGTGTAATATCCTAGACAAGTTTGCCATCCACGAAAGAAATCAAATTAGCCACCATGGCTATTTTTCTTGTTATCTTATTATAAAGATCTAGGTAAAGAAGCTTGAGCGGGTAATCCCCCAACCATTTTGCCTGCCAGAATCTAGTCAGATGACCATCACCCACAAGCATCCTGGAATAGACCAAAAAAAAAGGGGTCTAACACCTTGAATGGCTTGCCAAACCACATAAAGTTTAACCAACCTAGGGCATCTCCTCGCATATGGACCATCATGAATCTTTTCATATTTATCGATAATCACCTTAGCCCAAAGCTGATATCTATGAATGGAAAGTCTCCACCACCACGTAGTAAGCAGGGACTTGTTAACTTCCCTGAGGCGATGAATACCCAAGCCCCCATCATTTTTTGTTTGAAAAACAGAGTCCCACTTGACCGGATGGACTCTAAAGAAAATTGCTCATTAAAGATTCAAGCTTAGCAATAACTATCGCAGGAGTTTGAAAAAGAGAAAAGAAATAAATAGGAAAGTTAGACAGGGTTGCATTAATGAGAGTCGTTCTGCCAACAAAGGATAACTAACAGGCTTTCCAACCATCCAGAATCACTTGAGCCCTTTGAATGAGGCAATCCCATAAAGACCTAGGAGCACTGCAATTAAGGAGTACCAGCCCTAGATACTTCAAAGGAAACACATCCACATCACACTTAAGCCAGGAGGCGCAATCTTGAACTTCAAGAGTAGAGTAATTAATACCCGGGAGTTTGGATTATCCAGGTTAACTCTGGCCCTAGAGATCAATTCGTAAAGCTTGAGGAACAACCAATATTATGAACATTAGTATCAATTGCCTCCAAAAGGATCAAAGTATCATCAGCCTATTATGTGACTAATAATAAAACCTATTTGCGTCCATCTTTAAGATAGAAAATTTATGCCTCGGGACCACATATGTAGAAATGCAATCGAGCTTGCATGAAACAATTTTCCTTTATCTTTTAAGGGAAAAGTTTATATAGATCTAAGGCTCTAAACAATCAAGTTATAGCCTACCTCAAAATTTTCACTAGAAGAGGTTGTTTCGATGCCCAAATATCCTCAAATTGATTGTCTCGCCATCAAGATGCATGGACATGAGAAAAAATGGATTTTAAGTTTTGGAACTAGTGTATTTTGTAACACATTTTTGGACCATCAATTTTCAAGATTATCAAGTTTTCATAGATCTATCGATCTACACTATTTTTGAAGCTTTAAACTTTACTTGTGGATTACATTTTACTGCTACTTTACTAGTAAAAACCTTTGTACTAGTATTTTTTCTATATGAAAATTTAAAATCCACTCTAGAAACTTAGATCAGTAATTTTAAAGGAAAAAGTGATTTTTAGTTCTTGATCACTTGGATATGATAGTCTAAATATTAGAGAACATCCATTCCATCCTAGGATGTTATTGTTTCAAGAATTTATTAGTGTATTTTAGAGAATATCCATTCACTTGAAAAATTCGCCGTTTCATAGAAAACTGTGGACTACGAAAAGAATTATCATACTTTGCTTTTTCAATAATCTAATAATTACAATAAACAAAGAGTTAAAGAAAGACATAACCAGCCACTCTTACCATGCATAAAATCAACTAATAACACACACAAAAGAAATTATAAAAAACATATTCTTTTTTTAGAAAAAGAAAAAAAAATACATATTTCCTGTTCCAAATGCTCTTGATTTACTTAGATCTCACCATCCCAAAGCTCCTCAATGGTCTTATATGGACTTGTGGTGTTGTTAACCAAGAAGTCTCCTCTCATGAACTTCATCTGAGAGAGATCATTGATCTTGCAGTGGTCCTCTGCGTCGAGCACCCAGTCTGACACACCCCAGTTCTCCTGCATCCTCTCCTCGTTAAAGCTTTTCGCCACCACGCTCACCCCGCTCTCTAAGGCCCATCGTAGAGCTATCTGGTCCCACGTGCGATGCATTAGGCACATGTTTGAGGGTCATTTTCTTGCCTTTTTATTAATTAATTCGCATATTTTGTCTTTTCACGTATTCATTATCGGAGGTGGATGAAAAGTTGGTGAGTCGGATTGGTTTGGGGGATCGGATGGTCTTGAATCGCACTTAATTGTTCAAAACCAGGTGTGATGAACCACCGGATTTACTGTAGGGACTCAGGCAAGTCATGAGCCCCAGGTGAGTTGTTTTGCTTTTTATTATTATTTTTGTCATTGTTTAGGGCCGGGCCCACTGAATCGACAAGCCTACTAAGATCATCTAGTGCCCAAATTAGTACCCAACTACTATTTCTTAAACAGTGGGTTAGAGACCCGTTTGTGTTCCAACAAATTATGAGTGGATGCTGAGTTTTAAAATCTTCATTTCTTAGGGTGTGTATGATTAAAGAAGGCGTATACTATGCTTCCACTGGAGCATACATTACACACTTATTCCCTCGGTCAGATGACTTATTTGAGAGGATTTTTTCAATATGTAACATTGGAAACTACTTAAGAATCACCAGATGATTATTTTCAAAAGAGAAAGTTTGAATTTGGATTTTTCTAAAAACTAGATCTCATCCTTAAAAAGTTGGACGATCCTTGATCAATATTGAAAAAAATAAAAAATTCAAGTGCCTAAAAAGTATGTTTTGGAAACTTTTTATTGGGGTTAATCTAAAGGTTGAAGAAGTTACAATTGTGGATAACTCGATGTTGGGTCAGATTACCAGCAATGTACTTATACAGAGTAGAAGGATGGGCCCTTCTGTGCAGTAGCAGGGACACTAGGATGGTCACTTCTTTGCGTTAAAGGTCTCTAGGGTTCTTCAAATAAGGGAAAGGCCCATACATTGCTTGGATGTGGGTCCCCATCCATGCATCACTTGACTAGATTGTCCACGAGACTCGACGATCCAGATGCACTAAGCATATCTAAGCCCATGAGAATACTTTCCTATATATATATATATATATATATATAGGATCATTGCATTGACCAAGCGTAACGTTCAAAGGACATTTTCTAGAACTTTATGATGCATCCAATCCATCAGATTTCAAATGGTTATAAGTACGGGATGTGACCATTTACCTTTAATACAAGAAGGTCATAATTATTTGTAACCCTCTGATGTATCACGAAGTTCAAAACAAATTCATTTGAAGTTTGAGTCTAGTCAATAGAATAAATGAAGCCACCTAATTTTACATCCAATAGTCAAGATTAGTTCTGACCTCCTTATAACAAAGGTAAAATGGTCTCATTTTATATTTTTGCTATAAGTAATTGTGACCACCTTGTATCAAAGGTAAATGGTCTCATTCTATAACAATCCCACGTAATGACATCTCTTTTTCTATAAAGCTTTATCATTAGTGTTAGCTATTAGAGCTCAGTTTTGATGTGGAAAATCTTATTATGTTTAGGGTTTGTATGGCTTACTCTCTCTAAAATAAATTGTACATGGGCTCCTTAGGGAAAAACACCCAGATGAGCATTTTTTTGATGAATAATCACAAAAAATAGGAAAAACACCCAGATGAGCATTTTTTTGATGAATAATCACAAAAAATAAAAATAAGGATTGTAAAAGTCCTAGAGTTGACTACCTGAATTTCTTAGATAGTTTGTATCCACTCTCGCAATAAATTTTTTTCCAGTCAGTTTTGGAATCTAATTTGACGTTCTTCTTTTAGTTCGTTCATCAGAATGCTTGAGTTATGTCACTCAAAAGTGAGGTCCAACATACTTCTAAGTAGATTTTTGTTTTAAAAACATTAAAAAAAGAGCTGAATAGCAAACCATGATTTATGTAGTTAATCTCAATTAATTAAAAAAAAACTATGATGATGATGATGAAATAGTAAAAAATAAAAGTTTCGCAACAGGACAAGTGCACAATTTACCCTTGCAAGAGAATATAATCTTTTATGTTATCTTTAAAAAGACTAGGAGGTCACACATCAATAATATAATAATAAAGCAAGAGATTGTCAATATGGGCTAGTAGACTATGAAACCATTTTATCTTTCTTCCAAATATGCCACAATTACTCATAGCCATTAGATATCAAATCGGATGATTGAGAGTGTGTCATAAAATTGCAAAATATTTTTTTTGTAACTTTGAGTCAAATCAATGACTTGCTCACAACCACCCAATTTGAAATTTAAAAGATAAAAGTGATTATGACCTCCTTATGCTAAAAGTAAATGATCTCTTTGTATACTTTTTCCTTATCTTGCAATAATTGTTTGTGGTGTAGGAACTAATCCCTTGCTTTTTCTTTATCTTGCAATAATTGTTTGTGGTGCAGGAACTAATCCCTTGCTGAAAAGAAACTTTTAAATAGTCTCATGGCCCATCTTGGTTCCCACTAAAAGGATCTTTCAAAACAATTTTGTGATTTCATGGTCCTTATTTGGATCTACTAAAGAGCATAATACCAAAACTTTCATTAAAATATTTGGAGAAAATAAAAAAGTGGAAGACAATTCTCAAATAGCGAGTGGAGAATTCACCTGTGCTGGAGTTCTTTGGTGCTTATGAGCTATGGAAACAATGGTTGGGTTCTTGATCACAGCCTTTGAACCCCATGGACTCCCGGGACCACCCAATGGAGAATATGCACTTAAATGGATCTTCCTTTCAGCACAAAATTCTCTAAGTTTATGTTGTCTCCATAGTGGGTGCAGCTCCACCTTATATTACAGTAAGAAAGGGGGAAAATAACTAAATAAGGGAAACCCGCAAATATCAAAAAATGGAAAGAATTGGAATTAATACTTTCCTAATTTTTTTTCCACCTAACCTATGTCTACCAATGTGTTTTTGTGTGCTAGACTATTCTTATTGCAGTGAACAATTGGCACACACAACACACCAGAGATATTTATAGCGATCAAGCCTGGTACTGAATCATTGAGAGATCTAGTCCAATTAAAATTGGTTCAATATCACCCAGATCATTTGAAATGCATTTTGAAAAAAGTATAAAAAAATAAGACTAGTAATTTAAAAATATGAAATATATTAAAAAGTAAAATTATCAACTTTATTTAACTCATCGAATTGGTCAAAACTGGATAGTTTGATTGTCCAAATTCAGCTTAAAATTTTTAATGGTTCTTTACCATACCACGTTATCGTTTTAGACTAAACCGACTAAGGCACAAATCAACGGTCTCATTGGTGAAACCTGGTCGTCTTGACTGATTTCGAAAACTATGATGGCGCCAAACTAAAAACATAAATGCACAAAAAATAGGAGGAAAAGAAAAAAATTGATACTAATAGAAATATGAAATGACAACCAAATCTAATGTTTCAAAGGTGATTCTTTCTGCAACATTGACGTTGTGGATTCAATTTGAAGTTACTAATGAAAAGCCACACAACAAAGAAAAAAGGAAAGGAAAATGAAAAGGTGAATATTTTTTAATGATATAACAAAAAAGACAATGATGATGACCCATGTTTAAACAATCGCAATCGGGCGGGCGTTGACTCCCAACCGGTCTAAGCCCAAGTTCCCCTGACTCGAGCGAGCTCAAGTCAGGCCAGGAATTTTTAACAATTACAATTAAAAGAATATTGAAAAATTGGAAGGCTTAGGTGATTCTGAGTTACCCGGCGAGGAATAACCAGCCTCTTGATTTAGGCTGTAAAACAGGCGATTTTTGAAACACTGGTTATGAGTCATGCCAAGGGCGTATATACCTGGTTCACAGCTGGAGGGATTGAAGCATGAGAGAGTAAGTCTTCAATCTTTTTGGAGGAGAAGTTGCTTATACCAATGGAATGGCACAATCCCAACTCCACACATTTCTCCATGGCATGCCATGTCTGCTCCATGTCAAGCCTTTCAAAGTCATCCTCCTTTGGCACAGCATAACACACCCCTTCCTTGAACCTTACAGGCCAATGCACCAGGTATAGATCCAAGTACTCCAGCTTCAAATTACTTTGCAACCCAAAGGACACAAGTAATTAGTTCAAGTCAAAAAAAAAAGTTGCTAGAATAATTATTAAAAGAAAATATAAAGAGTTCTATAAGACTCTCATTTGGCTTTCCAGAAAATGGATAATTTATTTTAACTTTTGGGTTAGGAATTATATAGAGTGTAAACTAATTTCTATTATTATTTCTAATTTCTCTTGAGGATTAATTACTGGGATGGGTAGGGCACATTCCCAAAATTTGGGGTTTGAAGAAGAAGGGAGATAATAATCATGGAAAAAGATTTAGTAATCCTGCAGGACCAAATTGGACAGTTAGTCGTGGAGGCAGAACACTTGTGTTAAGGGATTCTTATTAACTCCAGAACTCTCAAAACCATTTCAATCTAACAAGAAACAAATGATATGGAGCTGAAAAGGGCACTCCAAATCATTTCTTCTTCTAAAATTGATTTCGAGGAGTTCACTTTAGTGGAGTGCAAGACAAATTTAGAGTTTTAAGAACTCGAAAGTTTTTTTTTTTTTCTTTTGAAAATCGGTGACTGGGTGAAGGACAGCAAGTTTAGATTCTAGATTAAAATTCTTAAGTTTTTGTCAAAAAATAAATAAAATTAAAATTCTTGAGGAGGTTTTCAGGACCAAGGACACCTTTTTGTCCCATGGGATCACCACATAGACCTCCAACACTATTTATAAAATGGCAATACTGTCCCATGTACCTCTGTTAAGTTTCTATAGTATCTTAATCTAATTACTGAATTTGATATTCTTCTCTACTAAAAAAAGCAAGAGATTCCTTTTAAAAAAATTCTTTCTTAAACAAAATGAACGATCATATATCGTTTACTTATTCACTTTTATCTTCCATTTTTTTTTAGAAAGAAAACTAGACCATAATTTACTCACTGGAGAGTCCTCTTGAGTGCAGCCCCTGGATCATGGTGGTCACTACACCACAGCTTGGATGTAACAAAGACTTCCTCTCTCTTCACAATGCCTTCATCAAATGCTTCATTGAGGGCCTTCCCTATTGCTGGCTCTGAACCGTAGATTTTTGCAGTGTCGAAATGCCGATACCCGATCTTAAATTGCAAAAAAAAAAAGAAAAAAAAGAAAAAAGAATTGCTTCCATAATGAAATATTTGAAAAATAATAATCAATAACCAAAGAGTACGGTTTGTGTAAGGTGTTGAGCAATCAAATTAAGATACACCTCTAAATCTTGTTAAAAGATGGCCTAAAAATCTGTTTTCAACTCAAATCATAAGATTTAAAACTTCGAAGATAGTGTAAATAGAGTAAATCTACAAATATTTAAAATTTTGAAAATAGATCTTCTAGATAATATATTACAAGATGTACTATTTTTTAATACTTATATATATATAGATATACATCAAAGTTGAGATAAAGAATTGTAGGGCTAAAACAACCTTTTCAGATAGATTTTTGTGGTGCAATTTACTTCTACATATTAAGATTGGCATCTTATATAAATGACATAGAATATTGTTGCATAATTAAATCACCATCCAGTCAGATGATAGAAGGTCGCGAAAAAGATAGACGAAGCCACAAGTTTTGCTACAAGTGCAGTCTACAGTTGGTCAGATAGCTAGACAGTAATAACAACAGTGACCAGAAAGCAAGAATTCAGGTCCACGTTCCTAAGAGTTTCGAGCCCAAGTCAGGCAATCGGACTCGGATGAGACTCTTAGAGACTTGGTCAAGTTTTTGTCGTCATTATTGTAGTATTTTTTTAATCAATTGCGGTCGGTAAAATATTTTATAAAAAATTAAACAAATTTATATACCATTAATTTCAAAATGGGAACACATTTATCCCAATTTACCGACAGCACCCCCACTTTGCAAAAGGATTTTTTCCGAGTTAACCCTTGTTAAAGAAACTGACACTTGACTATTCTTTCCTATTTCTTAAGGAGGGCAGTTAGAGAGAGAAAAGGAAGTAGAGAATAGAGATAGAAAAGCAACGATGGCCTAGTTCTTAGGGAGAGAAAAGGAGGTAGAGAGAGAAACACAACAATGGCTTGGTTTTTAGGGACGGCACTTAGAGAGAGAAAAAGAGGTAGAGAGAGAAACGCAACAATGGCTTCGTTCTTAGGGACGGCACTTAGAGAGAGAAAAGCAACAATGGTGATGGCTTCTTCTACATTTATCAACCAAACTCACTTCTTTGTTGCTTCAAACCCCTCATGGGCCAAGCTTTGCCCTAAAGACGCAAGCCCTCTAATTCGGGTTTTTCCCCCCCCCCCCCCCAAAAAAACTTTGTTTTTTTTATCCGTTAGAGCTTCTTTTTTTTCAGTCACCACGTCAAGTGTATACGTGTTTGCCGGACAAGGGTTAAGTTGGGAAAAAAACGCTTAAGGGCAAGGGGAAGGGTACCGCCTTCTCAATTACCGTATTAAATATAAGCTGTGTTCGATTTACCGGACAAGAGTTAAATTGGAAAAAAAAAAAAAAAACCGCCCGACAAATGCATTGTCCGTATATAAATTTCTCAAAAAAAAAAAAAAAAAAAAATGATGGAGACAATGGGAGTGGGGCGGTTCACATGGATTGTGTTCCGGGCCGTGAAGTCGGGGTTTTTATGGATAATAAAATAGAAGTGGGTTACCTTGAGCGCAAGGGAAATGGAGGTTTGAATTTGTTGAGAGTGATAGGGGATCCCTGCTGTTCCAAGGGCAATGAGGGGTAGTTTCCTTCCTGAACTGAGCCTCACAGCAGGAGCCTTCATATTGAGACTCACTCCCACACTGTCATGGCCTCATATTTATATACTACAAAAATGATGTGCGAGGGTTGATTAAAATAGTAATAAAGGAGATGGTGGTCTTGGTATCTATTGGGTACCAACAATATTTGGAATGCGCTCGGTATCTACTGGGCACTAACAGGATTTGGAATTTTTGCATGGGAAATCGTTTGACAAACCCTAGCCCAAGTTTCCAGGACTTAAACAAAGTAGAGAGAGAGAGATGGGTCTTCTAAAAGAGAGAGACAGAGAGATGAGTTTTCTAAATGAGAGGGAGAGAGAGATATCCTATGCCAAATGGTAGAGAGAGAGACGAGTCTTCTAAATGAGAGAGGGAGAGAGAGAGAGGGGCATGTGGAAGATGGGTTATAGAGATAGAGGCATGTGTGTGCTAGAGAGAGAGAGAGGCATGTGTGTGGTAGAGAGAGAGAGGAGCATGTATGTGCTAGAGAGAGAGAGGCATGTGTGTGGTAGAGAGAGAGGGGCATATATGTGCTAGAGAGAGAGAGAGAGATAGAGAGGCATGTGTGTGGTAGTGGATGATTGATTTTATAAATGAAAATCGAGGCATTAGAGGATCTCCTTAGGGATATATGATGGATATGGAAGGATAGAATAAGCAACATATTGAATGTCACCATGTGTGGGTCGGTCTTATATGTTACCTTTACTTCCTCTCCACTCAGATTCATGCCTCTCTCTCTCTCTCTCTCTCTCTCTCTCACATGTGAAGCCTTTGATTTTGGTTGTAACCAAGGAGAAGATCCTGTTTTGGTCTTTGGAGCTGGCTAGGATCACATACTCTTTTCTTTCTTGTCCATTCAACATATTCACTTATTTTTTATTAAATCAATTACTCATTTCTTTTTCCTTTGCTTATTTTTTATTAGATCATATACTCTATTCTTTTCAATTTCACATCTTTACTTACCTTTTTATGCCAAAAGATACTCTCATTTACTACTTTGGGTAAATTCCAGTCTATAATTAATTTTAACACCCCAAAATTTAGGGATTTAATCTGTTCAACCCATACATTGACCTCAATTAAAATATTCTCCAAATTGTATCCTCTATGCACTAGAATAAAAATAATGTCTTAAGATTGAACATAGACTGTCCAATTTTTAGATGGTGAGATATAAGTGTTAGAAACTTCAAATCTCATATTTTTTTTGAGGATATTCATCTAATAATTCCAAGTGTTTTCAAAATTTTCAGATCAAAAAAATTTATTCCAAGTTCTCTAACCGAAGAAGTAAAAATAAACTATGCTCCTAAAGAAGCATGGCCTTTTTTTAATTAGATTTTGGCCGGTCCAATAAAAAATGGGGCAGCCAATGAAAGCAAACTGCCTAAGTTTTTTTGCTTCACAAATAAATAACGGATTGGTACACATTTTTTAGAACGTGCATAGTTATCGTTTGGATATGACATCACAGCTAATATTTGTTAACGTTTAATTCAAGAAAAAAAGGACATACGTTTAAGTACAACCCATAAGACGCATCATCAGATCTTACCAAAGAGATTTCATTAAATATAACATAAGGGGCTTTATAAATCTGTCTCAAATCTTGAAATAAAATGTAGTTTTCGAATTCAAAAACCTTTAAATAAATCATCTCGACGATAGGATTTGTGAATATAAAAAAAATAGATTTCAAACTCTGAAAATGATTTATCCAGTTATACAAATTTCTGGGCTACCCATTTCTCATGAATCCTCTAAATTTACAACATTTCTAAATATTCCAATATCACATAAACAAAAAAATGATCAAGGATATATGTTTAGTGTTTTTCTTTTTAAAATAGGAAAAACATACCGTAGTATGTTGAGACGCATCAAAACTATGGACACGCATGTCCATGTTAGTTACATTAGGGGTGGAAATGGACCTAGATCCGACCACGGGTCGGGTCTGGGTATGGGTCCCAAAATTGGACCTGGTTGTTCAAGTCTGAATCCATATGGACCCAACCTGAACACTACCCGAATAGTGTTATTATTTAAATAATATTTAATATATAATATTTTAGTAGTATTTAAATAATATTTAAATGAATATAGCTATATACGTTTAGTTATGATATTTGAATAATACATGTATATATTTCACATAATATTTAAAACGTGCGGTTTGTATAGAGCTTAGGCTCTAAACAATCAATTAGTGCCTACCTTCAAATAGTATCGAGAAATGTGGTTTTAATATTGGAAATCTTTGTTATAGCCTTAAGATATATTTTTATATTTATTTATAAAGTTTAAAGCTTAAAAAATAGTGTAGATTGACAGATTTATCAAAACTTGAAAATCTTAAAAATTGACGGTCCAAAATTGTGTTACAAAATATATTATTTTCAAAACTTGAAATCTATTTATTTCTCATGTCCATGTATTTTGATGTCGCGATGATCAATTTGAAAATATTTGGGCATCAAAACAGAACTCTTCTAGTGAAATTTTTGAGGTAGGTTCAAATTTGATTGTTTAGAGCCGTGGCTCTATATAAACTTTTCCCATATTTAAATATTCAAAATATAGATATTTCTTATTTTTGGGTCGGGTTCAAACAGGTATGCATCTGGGTCCGATAACTTCGTTTCAGTCAGGTCTGAGTCCGGGTCCAATAACTTGTTCCAGTTGGTCCAGGTCCGGGTCCCATAAATTCATTTTCTGGTCCGTGGTCGGACCTGACCCCGACACGTTGCCCCTCCCTACCTAGGTCTGGACCATCTTGATGATTGAAGTATAAATTAGCAAAATGCCCTCCCCCATGTAGGTCAACATGACAAGTACGGTTGGATCGAAAATGGTTGTTCAATAAAAGAGACAAAGGCATTCTTTTATACAGCAAATGCTTTGGAAAGTACAATAAGATCTTCTTGTATTAAAACCCTACCAAATGACAAACTTATGAGTTGGAAAAGTACGAAGCCATAACCAAATTCATATGATTCACAAAGATACACAATCTGATGGTTAATATAAAATGAAGAAGAATCCATGAGAAATCAAAAGGACATTAGGACCGTAGGTTTGACCCTATAGACCATATGTGCATGTGAAAAACCAATCCTAGTGCCCCTCTTCCCCACCTACGAAATTGGTGATTTGAATATCCCTAACCTAGATTATTAGGGATCATCTTTATATAAGTTACTCCAGTATTGGTTTTTAAATTAGGAGAAATAAATCTTAACCTAGATGATTAGGGGGATCATTCTAATAAATTATTCGATATACGTTTTGGATTAAGAAAAAGATATGGTGTTGCACTAGCCCTACACCCAAGGTCTCGACGTTTCACTTGCTTTTCTTAAATATCAATGTCCTTTGGCCTCTTTGGATGGACAATGAAGCAATAATTATTTCTATTTTTATGATGTATTGGGTTCTATAAAATACTAAAATTAGCTAAAAACCTTACAACAAAAAGTACTTGAAAAAAAAAAAATGGTGGATAGTTGGGAATAGAGTCTTCTACCCATGACTAAAATGAAATTCAAGATGTCATGCTGTCGCACCCACTATCCTGATTACTAATGCCTTGAATCCATTTCCTACAATAGAATCCATTGCTTTTAACAATAGAATTCAAGATGTTATGTTGTCGCACCCACCAACCTGATCACCCATGCTAGTCGTTGATATATCCTCTTTGTCCATCGTAACTTTATCTTAGACTCTAATTAAACCCCTAATTTTATTTCAAATTTATAAGGACATGGAATTACTCCTTGGTAAACTATCACATAAGTTGACCTCCCACTTGGCGTAGGCAATGGTGAGGATCAACCTATCCTAACCCTTATGTCAAGGGAACAAGCATGCTTTATAGAATTTTTGGTAGGTCCATTATTATAACAAGTCTCCCAAGGTTTAAAAAGCGAGCGAGTCAACCAAATAGAGATATCAAGGGCACGGTTTCTATAAGTCTCCATACTTATATGTAGAAATGTAGCCCCTCTTAATACTCCATTTTTAAAATAAATTAGGACTCTTATTTTTAATGAATAACCAAAACCTAACATGGAGATCATTAATGTGTAACAAAAAAAATGATTTTTTATTAAGAAATATTTGAGCCATTGATTATACCTTTTTCTTGGAGGGACCATCACTTACATCTATCTCTAGGTGGATGCTTTATGTAAACTACTTTTCCATAAATTAAAGTCCATAAAAGATGTTAAGTAAAGGGAAAAGTTTATAGAGAACCTAGGCTCTAAACAATCAAATAGAGCCTATCTCAAAACTTTCACTAGATGAGGTTGTTTTGATGCCCAAATATCATAAAATTGATCATCTCAACATCAAGATGCATGGACATGAGAAAAAAATGGATTTCAAGTTTTGGAAATAGTGCATCTTGTAACACATTTTTGGACCGTCAATTTTCAAGATTTTCAATTTTTTATTAAGTTGGTCGATCTACACTATTTTTTAAGCTTTAAATTTTATAACTAAAGATGAAAATATAATTTAAAGCTATCACAAAACTTTCCAGTATTGAAACCATATTTCCCGATACTATTTGAAGGTGGGCTGTAATTTGATTGTTTAGAGCCTTGTCTCTATACAAACCGCACCCTTAGAAAAATAAGGAATAGTGTATATAGAGCCAGGCACTAATCCATCAAATTGAAGCCTACCTCAAAAACTTTACTGAAAGAGGTCGTTTTAACGCCCAAATATCCTCAAATTGATCAGCTCGACGTCAAGATGCATGGACATGAGAAAAAAAATAGATTTCAAGTTTTGAAAATAGAGTATTTTGTAATGCATTTTTAGATAGTCAATTTTCAAGATTTTCAAGTTTTCATAGATCTGTCGATTACACTATTTTTTATGCTTAAAACTTTATAAATAAAAATTAAAATGTATTTAAGGGCTATCACAAATATTTTGAGTATTGAAGCCACATTTATCGACACTATTTGAAGGTAGGTTCTATACAAACCTTTAAAAATAAGGGATTGTATACTATGAGACCATTTATCTTTAGTACAAGGTGGTAACAACTAGCCCTAGCCATTAGATGTTCGATTGGATGGTTTGGAGTGTATCACGAAGTTTAATAAATTTTTTGTTGTGCTTTGAGATTAGTCACAAGTACTCTTACAACCATCTGATTTGAAATTTGATGG